AATCCAGGCCTGTTATACCAGCCTTTCCTGCCTCCTCCTCCTCCACAATAATAAACGTGTTCTTTTTGTAATATCTTCCACTCAGGTTTAGGGAAACAAAGTGTATTTTACTAGCTTGTCTTTTATTCTATTGCTATGTGCATGAAAAAAATAATTAATATATAAACAAACATGCCACAGGCTCTTAATGTCATTTTTCTAACAAGCTGTTACTAATCTTTTTTCTCTTAAACCTTTCTGCTGAAATAGATCTCTCTCTAAGCTCACCCTCTCACCATCCATGGTGCTGCTTTTCTAAAGCCCACATGTGTCAAAAAATAAGAGGAGTTAAATTAGGGAAAATGGGGATTAAACAAACTCTGTAAAATTCTATTTCTTAGAGCACCTGTTTTATGAAGAAATAATAATCTTCAAAAAGAAACCACAACTAGCAGTAGTTTATTATGTGTATTTTATTATAAAGTTTTATTTCTAAGGAATAAGTAAAAATTATAGCCACAAGGAAACCACTACTTAGTGAATCTATTCAATATTTCACAAATTTCATCAGGAAAATCCCATAGTGATTCTTGCTGAACAACCATTTAGAAGAGTAATTTTAAATTCCTTGGCACTCTTAAAATGTAAAGAGAATGCTTTTCTTTTGATGGACACAAAAAATTGCTTCGTAGTCATGATTCATGCTCTATCTCACATAGTAAGGCTACAGGTTTCATGAGTGATTAAAAATAAAACTGAGAAATGTCTCTTTTTAAGTGTCTAGGAGAAAAGATACTATGGCATGACATTTAAATATTTTAATGCTAAAGGCCAGATTCTAAATCATGATGACAAAAAAAATAGAAAGAGCCATCACCCTAACCAGTTCGGCCCAGGTGGTTGGGTGTCATAAGGTTGCCAGTTCATTCTGGGTCAGGGCACATACCTGGGTTGCAGGTACAGTCCCCATTCAGGGAACATTTGAGAGGCAACTGATCAATGTTTCTCTCTCATGTCACTGTTTCTCTCCCTCTATTTCTCCCTCTCTTCTCCTCTCTCTAAAAAAATAAATAAAGCTTTTTTTAAAAGGAGCCATAATTTAAATGAATAGTACCAAAGGTAACTATAAATGGGGTCTGGTACCAAAAGATAATAAAAGTACATGCATTACAGTATTTAAAGGTCTAGGTACATATACAAGCATGCACATATATATATAGCCTTTACATAGTCCCCTTTGTATCTCATTCTCCAGTGGTACCTCATCTCCACAATTGGGTATGTGACCATACTCACAATGGCTTGTAATTTTTCTGGGCACAGGAAAACTATGAAGGCTTTCTTTAAATTTTTTTCAGATAGAAAGCTATTAACCATAATTATAGTTTCTTTTCTTGATTTTATACCTATCTATACTTTCTTATATACCCATCATCAGAATCTAGAGCCAAAAATGTTAATAAAACATCTACAATATGTGTGGGGCTGAAAAACTTCAAAGCCAAGTGATGCTTGGGATAATGTTTTGTACCTAATCATCTTCATAAAAATGTTCAGAATTTAAAGAGGCAAACCCTGCTAAGTATCTTAATTCTAACAGAGCATGAAATTGTCTAAACTAAGAAGGAATGGCTTCTAAAAGGCATTGGTCCTGGAAATTATTGTGAAAGTGGAAGACATTGATCTGTTTTTAATAAGTAAACAAAGTCCCTAAGGAAAAGGGATGCGAGGTGTTCCAGGCATGGGGGATGGAATGAGCAGGCACAGAACACAGAAGCATGCGCTGTGTGTGTGTTTGGAGAATGGCCCAAAATCTGAAATATCTGGAGCAAAGAGACAGACACTTGTTGTTGAATGATGGCGGCTGAGACTAGAAAAGTTCAGCACATGCCAGATGGTGGAAGGATTTCAAAATACCCAGCCTAGGTGTTTGGCAGCAACAATGAGTCCCAGAAGACAACTGGAGTAAAAGAAAAGCACAGCAACACTTTAGGAAAATTAACCCCATGATCATGGGCAAGGTGGTTTGGATGGCAATGAGGGGTGGGAGGGGAGCACTAGTGTTATAATCCAGCCTGAGGGTGAAGGGAGTGGGCCTTGGTGTGGTGGGAGAGATGGTAACAGATCTAACAACTCTTACAGTAAAGGGGAAGAGGAGCATTCCAAAATAACCCAGAAATGTGAACTTGAGTGAACAGGAGAACAGAATGCACGTGGTTCATGGAGAGTTTGTTCATACACTGGAGGAAAGTACATGGTCTAACCTGAGCTACTTCTGATTCTCAAAGGTAAATCTATAGCCATAAAGAGAATCCTCAAAATTTCAACTCATCAGGAAACATGGCTTTCACTCAGGTTTAAACACTGCACTCAGTTATCCACACACTGTTCCATTGACTCCAACATAAATCACATGCCTAGAACTAATGGTAAATTAGTTGATATGTCTGATAAGGGGTTAATATCCAAAACTTATGAAGAGCTTGTAAAACTCAATTATCAAAAAAACAAACAATCCAATTGAAAAATGAACAAAGGACTCAAATAGACACTTCTCCAAAGAGGACATACAGATAGATGGCCAATAGACATATGAAAAGATGCTCAAGGTCACTAATCATCAGAGAAATGCAAACAAAAACCACAATGAGATACCACCTCACAGCTGTCAGAATGACTATCATCAATAAATTAACAAACAAGTTCTGGTGAGGATATTGAGAAAAGAGAACCCTCGTGCCCTATTAATGGAAATACAGACTGGTGCAGCCACTGTGGAAAGCAGTATGGAGTTACCTCAAAAATTAAAAATGGATCTGCCTTTTGACCCAATGATGCCACTTCCAGGAATATATCCAAAGAAAGCCAAAACACTAATTCAAAAGAATATGCGCACCCCTAAGTTCACTACAGTATAATTTACAATCACCAAGATTTGGAAAGCAACCCTGGTGCCCATCAGTAGATGAGTAGTTGAAAAAGCTGTAGTACACTTACACAATGGAATACTACTTGGCCATAAAAAAGAAGGAAATCTCACCCTTTGTGACAGCATGGATGGATCTGGAGAACATTGTGCTAAGTGAAATTAGCCAGTCAGAGAATGACAAGTACCATATGATTTCACTCCTAGGTAAAATCTAATGAACAAAATAAACTAAATAGAAACAGACTGATAGCTGTCAGAGAGGAAGGGGGTTGTGGGGCTGGGTGAAAAAGGTGAAGGGATTAAGCAAACAAATAAACAAAAACTTCATACACACAGACAACAGTATGGTGATTACCAGAAGGAAAAGGGGGTGAGGGGAGGTAGAAGAAGGTAAGAGGGGGATACACAATGATGGAAGGAGACTTGACTTTGGGTGGTAAACACACAAGCACACAATACAATATACAGATGATGTATTATAGAACTGCAAACATGAAACCTATATAATTTTATTGACCAATGTCATCCCAATAAATGCAATACAAAATTAAAAAATAAAATAAAATGACATCTCAGGAAATGACTTGTAACTTCCCCAATCTTAAACTGGCTTGCCTCAGAGAATTTTTTTTAAAAAAATAGATTTTGGCTTTACATGTACATTTGAAAGCCAACAATGTGACCCTTCCTAAGATAAAAACAAGAAAAATGTAAAGCATTTAGTTCTGACTTTTCAAAACTCAAGAAGATACTTTGTCTCCACTAAAGCACCAGGAGATTCCTTCTCTGATACCCAAGGTTACCCAAGTACATTTTACACTATTACTTATATATATTCATTATATATAATTAGCTTCATTCAATTTTTAACTAAACATATAATCAGAATTATGAAACATAAAACATGTTATGTACTAAATATATGTGATAAGCTTTATTTTTTCTTAAAATAGGAATACCTATTTTCTTCTTTTCATTTGGATACCTTCTTACTTGTCAACAAACAATGTGTTGAAAAATGATCTTGGGTAAATTCTTTAAATTGACAAAATAGGTGCATCTCTATCTTCTTTGATGTTATTCTTACATTAGAATATTCTGTCAAATTATCGTGTTCACTTAAAGGCTCAAACTTCTTATACAAATCCAACCCCAGTACAGACACCAGGTGTCAACAGTAACCATATCACCGATGCACAGACAGTTTTTGTCAGATTCAGTGTGAAATTAATCAGTCTAAGCAATTCTGAGAAAAGTACATGGCAATTCACGGAAGGGGAGAGAAAATCCTTACAGATGAGAGGAGGAGTTCCTTTCATTTCCTTTCATCTATGTAGTAAACATGCTATACACATATATACAACTTAAGAAAGGATTTTTTCTAATAAATTCAATTTTAGTTTTAAAAATCAGAATCTTTTATCTATGTATAAACTATTACCCAATTTTGTAATGCAAAATAATATTCTCCTGAGTAGTCTGTATCCAACAACAGCACGAGTAGTGATTTAACCCCAGGCATCTCCTGTGCCTCGCTAGCAGCATCAGGGTGGCTGCAGTGGAACGAGGTCAGAGCCGGCACAAGGTGCGCCCATGTAATCAGAGAATCAGGCAAAGGGAGAAGCAGAGAGCAGCAAGTCACAAATACAACAACACAAACCCCATGCAGGACTTTCCTGCCATTTACCACACAAGCTGCTCAGCTAGTTTCAATAAATGAGTGATTCTGCTTCCTGGGGAAATATCCCTTCCATTGCTTAGCCATCCTAACTGTGAGAGGAGCTGTGAAATCGTCCTTTGTCACATTTCTGTTACCTGCAAAAGAATGATATCTTGGCAAAAACATTTTGATGTCTATTAAAACACCATAATCTTTGGGGTTAAAAGGGAATCAGTATAATTCTGAGAAAGACATGATGTTTCTGGTTCTCTAAAAATAATTCACAATGATTATCATCATTCCTAAATGTGTTATCACATAGTGGAACAGTAAGAATCCAAGGAAACAGACAACACAGAGCCGGACAGAACACTCTTCTTATAGGAGCAGATATTTCTTAAAGGAGTAAGTAACTATTTAGTTTGCTCTTACCTGATGGCAGCTCGTTTAACCAAGGGTATGTCCTGTATGGAGGTAGTTTATCCTTTGAAGAATCAGTGGCTTGTCCCACAGCCCAAGAGAGACTGGAGTCCTGGAAAACTATCCAGCCCAAAAGAATACAGAGGAAAAAGCTTTTCCCACTTTCTCTCCCAGGACTAGCCAATAGCTGAAGTCATGCAGGAAACTGAGAGAAGGGGAAAGCAGCTTCTTCTCCCTGAAATCCCGATCAGCAGAAATTGGAGGCTGTTGTATATCTCCCACCCAGACTTTTGTTTAAAAGTTTTTTCAACTGTTGCTAGGTGTTGTTGGGTTCTGAGATTAGGTTTCTCGTCTTCTGCTCCCTTCACAACACCGTCAGAGCAATGACTTTGTTGAGGAGCTGGCTTGCGCGTGCTATATTTAACCAGTGTTCTCAGCAAGTCGAGCCTGTCAACAGCTGAGAAGTTTGGAGCCGGCTTTACTCAGTTCCTCGGCAGCTGGGTTATCAGTGGATATAGCTCTGCTCACCCTGTAAAAGATTGCAGGGAAACCGGCAGTCCCTTTTAAGGACTTCTGCTCTTTACACAGAGGTAATTATTATTTGAAGCTCTTAAATGCAGATTGTGATTTGGGACTTGGGTTTTAAAATCAAAGAAAAGAATCAAAGAGCAGCAGTTGTTTGGAGCAGACAATATTTTTCTCAATTAGGCTTTCTTAGAGAAATAAATGTTCTTAAATTAGAAAATCTTTTATGTAAAAGTGGATCACAACTGCTGGAAAAATTCACAGGAAGAGATTATTTCCAGAGAGTTTTTATGGTGATGTGTTGTATTCGTAGCTAGATGACTAACTTGCCCAGTCATATCAGACCTGGCCAGCTTATATACCTGAATGTTAGCAAAGCAAGGTTACCATAAAGAAATGTCTGTAACATTGTTTTTGAAAGGAGTAAAAGTTAAGGAAGAAAATCTTAACATTCTCACTCAGGTCATTCAATGGATGAGGACTCTGGGAAAACCCTGCCTGCCAGTTGACAGCCTTGCCTCATCATTAACCCTCCAGTCTCCAAAACCAGAGAAGGGTCACTTCTACCCTGAACTCTAACATAAAGAATGTTTCAAGGCATTTTATTTGTTTTATTCTATACACTAAAAGAATATGAATCTGCCAAGACTGAGACACATGAAAAAATGTGTTTAACTAACTAGTTCTTGGAACTGTCTAATTATGTGAAATTAACAGCAAGAGAAACTGAGAGAGATCCTTTTAATCACAGGTAAAGTGGGAAGGGACACGCACACACACCACTACTTGTTAACACACTAAACTATTGCCCTGACAAAAATCTCACCAATACCATTATAGAGGTGACCCCACCCCTTGCTGAGATCAAGTTACCAGTTCAAAGATAACCCTTTTTTGACATGCAAACTGGAGTTGGACCAAGGACACATTTAAAGGCATGGATTTAATATCTGAAGTGTTGCAATCCTGTAGTAAGTGGCTTGTGTGCTGGACAACCCTCATGTCTCTCTGGGAAGGCTACCACTTTCCACACAGCGTGTGGGTTCTTTTTAAGGAATGACTCTCACCTCTACTGTTAGCTGATCCCAACACCTCAACCCATTAGAAAACATTGCAACTCTCCCCATCCCAGCCACCGCACTAACAGCATTCAATTTTTCCTGTTAATTTATTTACTACCATTCACATATAAAATTGCATTTGTTCAGAGTCTTAGTCTTTCTGGATCTGGGCCAATCTTGATTTTTTTTTAAAAAGAGTTCTATTAAGATGAAAGTGTTCTTATGTGAAATTAACTGGCTCTTCTAGAACACTAATGGACCTGTTAGAAACAATCTATTCACAGTTTCTAAAAAGTGGATCTAACAGGAGGTGGAAGTGTGTTCCTGGGCTATGAGATAGTTCTGATTCACCAAGATAACTTTTTAAAAAATACAAAGAGGCAGCATCTGGGGACATTATTGTTTCAAAAATGCTCACCGCCATCCCCACGCATATCCCATATGTAACAGCCCCAAATTAAAATCCACTTCACTATAAAAGAGTATAAAGAGTTCAATTTATAGATGTCTCCCATTCTAAATGAAGCAGAGCAGTTTGTAGCCAAAATCCACATAACTGAGGGGAAATAACACTCTCTGCCTCGATGGCCCTAAACAATTTCACTGAGAGGGTGATAGTTATTTTTTCCCTGACTCCCCAGACAATTAGAGTTTTCATTTTTGTTTCTTTAATAAAAACATAGTTCCACACCATTGTTCTCTTTAACTCTTGGATTAGGTGTCCTTTGTCGCTATTAGTTTATTTTAAACAATGTGGTGACAAGCAGCATACAAACTACTTCAAGTAATCAGATACTGTTGCTACCTTCAGGTTACGTTCTTTAATTATACTAGGCATATGTGTTTGTCTGACTCAGTACTTCACAATAATCTGTCTTTTCTCTGTCTCCTTCTCTCTCCCCCATCCACACACACATTTATTCTCTATCTCTCTCAAAAAATGGATTTAGTTTGAAGGCTTTCCTCACAGGAATGATTAGACAAAAGCATTTCCTACATAATCCACAGAGGAAGTAGTGCCATTAGAACTTTTAGAAATTTGTGTTTTGTACACAGTCAACAAGGATCTGGTTTTTCAACACATATCATTAATATATTACTGTTCAGCTGCATCCTTTTCCCACAGTGTTAAGGTGAATATTATGAGAATGTCTGATAAACTTATAACAGAAGCTGAATTTCCCGAATACAATGATTAGTCATATGAAGCTTTTTTAATAAGAAGCTAGATTAGTGTTATCAGTGAGAAAAAAGCAAATGAATTTAGTAAGAAAGTAGGCATATTATATCCACATCCATTTCTGAAACCAAATTTTACCACATTCTTCATTTGAAGAGGCATACTGATTTTTTAAATCATTTTTATTTTTCAATTATAGTTGACATACAATATTATATTAGTTTCAGGCATATACCCCAGTGATTAAACATTACATAACTTACTAAGCCATAATTCCAATAAATCTCATACTCATCAGCTACCACACCTAGTTATTAGAATATTATTAACTATATTCCCTATGCTGTATTTACATCCCCATGACTATTCTGTAACAAGCAATTTGTACATCTTAATCCATTCACCTTTTTTGCCCATCTTCCTAACCCCCTTCTCATCTGGCTACTGTGAAAATGTTCTTTGTATCTGTGAGTCTATTTCTGTTCTGCATATTCATTTATTTTGATTTTTAGATACAATTCTTGAGAGATATGTACTATTTCCACTTTCTTGTTCATATTTCTTATCTTTTATTCTTCTTCTTCTTAAAGAAGACCCTTTAACATTTAATGTAATACTGGTTTGGTGGTGAACTCCTTTAGCTTTTCCTTGTCTGGGAAGCTCTTAACCTGTCCTTTGATTCTAAATGATAGCTTTTCTGGGTAGAGTTCTCTTGGCTGTAGGTCCTTGCTTTTCATCATTTTGAATATTTTTTTTGCCAATCCTTCTAGCTTGCAAAGTTTCTGTTGAGAAATCAGCTGACCATCTTCTGGTAGCTCCCTTGTAGGTAACTAATTGCTTTTCTCTTACTGCTTTTAAGAGTCTCTCTTTGTCTTTAACCTTTTGCATTTCAATTATGATGTGTGTTGATATAGGCCTCTTTGGGTTCATCTTGTTTCAGACTCTGTGCTTCTGGACTTGTATGTCTATTTCTTTTGCCAGGTTAAGGAAGTTTTCCATCATTGTTTTTTTAAGTAGGTTTTCAATTTCTTGCTCTCTATCTTCTCCTTCTGGCACCCCATGGTGCAAATATTGGCATGCATGAAGTTGTCCCAGAAGCTCTTTATGCTATCCTCATTTTTTTTTGGAATTTTTTTTTCTTTTTGCCATTCTGGTTGAATGTGTTTTGCTTCCTTATATCCCAAATTAGTGACTTGATTCTCAGTTTTACCTACTCTACTGTTGATTCCCTGTAAATCATTCATTTTGGTTGTGTAATCTTTGTTTCTGACTGGTTATTTTTTATGGTTTCTATGTCCTTTTTCATGCCGTTGAAGTTCTCATGAAGTCTCTTGAGTATCCTTATAACCATTGTTTTGAACTCTGTATCTGGTAGTTTGCTTGCCTCCATCTCATTTCGATCTTCTTCTGGAGATTTCTCCTGTTCTTTCATTTGGGACCTGTTTCTTTATCTCTGCATTTTGGCTGCTTAGCTGTGTTTGTTTCTGTGTATTAGGTAGAGCTTGTTATGTCTACTGAATTTGCTGAAGTGGCCTTATGTAGTAGGTGTCCTATAGGGCCCCATGTCACAGCTTCCCCAGTCACCCAAGCTGGGCCCTCCAGGTGCATGGGCCCCTGTGTGGGTGATGTGCACTGTCTGCTGTAGTGGAGCCTTGATTGGTGTTGGCACCACCTGGAGGGATTGACCCTCAGGCCCATCAGCTGCAAAACCAGCTGTGACTACAGCAGAGGAGCTTTTGCATGGGAATCAACCCTATGGAGCAAGGCTTGCTTCAGTGAGGCTTTGGTGCTCACCAATTAGGCCCCTTGAATCAGTTGCTCATGGAGGTGGCAGAGTTGTAATCTGGTGTGGTCTGAAGCTATCCACCAGGTGCAAAGGCTCTGGGGCCTCCTGGGAGGTACAAAGTCAGCCACCTCCTGTGCCCTGTTTGGGGCCACTCAGCATGAGCTACAGAGATATCTGCAGATGCCTGCTACTTGCATTGGCCTGGAGGTGCCCAACAGAAGCCAATCTGTGAACCAAGGATAGCTGTTCTAGTGCAGGGCCTGGGGCCACTTAGCAAGATGTCTGATGTATACAGAGGCAAGATGCTACTTGTTTCAGAGATTTTAGGAAAACCGAAAGCATGAGGTAAGAGAGACCAGATTATGGAAAAGCCACTGGGAATTTGTTTGGGTGGGCCTGCAAATTGGGTGACTGGAGTCTTAGGGAATCACCAGGGCAGGGCAAACAGTGGGAGCCAGGTTGATGGGGACTCAGATATGGCACTTGCCTATCAGCCTAAAGAGGCACAGTGATTTTTTAAAGCAAAAAATTAATAAGTTACTGGTATTTATACCAGTGAGGAGAAAGATAAGATATTGTTCAAAACAATGTTCAGGGGAGGAGGATTCATGACAGGAGTTTCCAAACAAACATGCTCTGTTATTGTTTATTCCCTGGCTTTAAAACTTAAATATAAGCTCCCACATAGCAGATAATGTTTCCTGTTTGTTCCTTACTGACTACTCAAGCATCCTGGTATGTGTTCAATAAATGGGAATGACTGGATAAGAAAATGAACATATAAAAGATTGAAGAAAAGATGAGGAAAGCTTCAGAGCATATTATTCATAAACTTATGGAAAATCTCTGGACAGAGTTGGGTCATTATTGGCTGCTTATTACAAGTTGTAGAAATAAATTTTTAGATTATGAATTATTTTTTAATTTTGTTA